TATATATTTCTTCTACCTCTATCCACACATATTATCCAGATTTCTGTTTGCAGAAATTAGAAAATCATGTAGTTCTTTTGTAGTGCATGTACTTCCTCATGGGTCACACCATATTCTTCACTTTTTGGAGGCTGCTGGTACTATGGTGTAGTTATAGGTCTAGTAGCAAAGAAGGGTGGTACTATGGGTGCTTAGAGAATTATAAATGCTTTCCAAGAAAACTATCTTAGTGGAGTCCATTACAGATTCCTCATGCAATTCATAGTTAACATTCATGAAAGAAGTTGAAAGGCTACTTCTAGGGCCAATTAACTTGATGGCATATAACAAAAACAACAAAGTAACATTTATTTAAAAATCATTTTTTTAGTTTATGAAACATAGCATAAACTATCATTGATCTATTTCTTTTTCATCCAGACATTCAAATAATTCTCTCTCTCTTTTTTCTTTTTTTCTTTACAAAAAGAAGTTAATATGTAGTGGTACTTTTATGTCCAGATTTCAAATGTTATTCTCTATATTTTAAGAAATATTTTAATTGTATGATTGAATAAATGATTCTCTCTTCTATAATTTCAAAATTATGTCATATCTTGTGTATTCTAGGAATCTCTAAAGATAAATATTTACCAACATCAGAGTCTTTAGCATTTATATTTCTGGCATCAGGGAATGTACATTTCAGTATGGGAAAAATCATATTAAAATATGGATATACTATTTATTTCTTGCTGATATATAATATAGCAACTGTCAATTAAGTCAGTTAAGTCAGGTCCCAATTTTTGGAAATAGGCAATAAAGCTAATTTTGAACTTCTCTCATTAAAATTGCAATGTCTTGAAATAATAATCTTATCATTTTCCTAAATAGAACATCCTACTTATAACTCTCCTTACAGCTTCCTTTATCTGCTTGTTCCGAAGACTGTAGATAATAGTATTTAGAAAGGGAGGGACTATAAAGTAGAACATAGAAATGATCATGTCCTGAATTGTGGGTGAGTTGGAGGTTGGCTTTACATACACAGCAGCAGCTGAACTGATGAAGACTGTCACCACAAGAATATGTGGAACACAGGTGGAAAAAGCCTTTCCTTGCTCTCCTCTGATTGGAAACTTGAGCACAGTAGAAAATATGTGAATATAAGACAGGATGATGAAGAAAAAACAGCCACCTCCAAACACTACTGAAGAGATAAAAAGTGCAATCTCATTTATGAAGTTATCAGAGCAGGAGAGCTTCAGAAGAGAAGGTATGTCACAGAAGAATTGATTTATTATGTTGGAGTGACAGAAGGTCAGCTGGAATGTGATGCCTGTATGGAATCCTGAGTAGACCAGACCACCGATTATGGAGACCAGAGATGCCAGGACACAGACCTGAGGGTTCATGATCACAGGGTAGTGGAGAGGCTGGCAAATAGCCACGTAACGGTCATGGGCCATAATAGTGAGGAACATCAGTTCTATAAAAGCAAACAAGAATACAAGGAAAATCTGAGATGCACATCCAACCATGGATATTACCTGGTTGTCAAGCAGGAAGATGACACATGCCTTGGGTACAATGACAGAAATATAACACATGTCCAGGACAGACAAATTCCTAAGGAAGAAATACATGGGAGTGTGAAGACTCTTGTCAAAGGTGGTTACTGTGGCAATAAGAAGGTTCCCCAGAAGAGTTGCCAAATATGTCAGTAGAAACAGCATAGCATGCAAAACTCTGAGCTCCAACACATCAGAAAATCTTGTGAGCAGAAATTCAGTTACTATGGTAAAGTTGGGCATCTTTAGGTGCTTTGCTTTGGACAGAAGAGACAAAGGTATGCAATCCCTAAAATATGAAGAGTCAATATTTGGAAAAATATTAGCTTAAGTATGCTTCTTGTTTTACATTTATCCAATTTTATCCTATCTAACTGATATTAGTTATTAGGAAATAATATTATGCTGCCTTCTGCTCCTTTGTTCTCAGTATTTGTGTAAGCTATTTTCAACTGTCAGCCTTCTGGTTAGCAGTCAAATGCCTTAGACACTACTCCACCAGATGGGATGTCATTATTTTACCAGACCTCTCAAAAGTCTACATGCAGTCCAATATCTACACAGGTAGAAAATTTTTTTTTTTTTTTTATTTTCATATCCACCATTCATCTTTTCTCGTACTGATTTCATTAGGAAGTGTACCTTCAGTCATTCCTTTCTCTGATGATCATCTTTTCTTGGCTACAAATATCTTTTTCTAGCAACTATTTACCTGGAATTTTTAATTATTATTATTATTTTAACATTTCATTCTTCAACCTGCATCACTCTATTTTTTAAAATGATTTATTAGA